AATAATAATAGCCTTAGAACTGCAGAGCTGGAAGGGACCCTATGGATCATCCACTTCTGACCATGGCAAGGAGCCCCAGTGGGGGATTTGAACTCCCAACCTCTGGCTCCATGGGCAGATAACTAAACCCCTGAGCTATCCAGCAGTTCTTACCAGTCAAACTTAACAAAAAGTACCCCACCCTGTAATTACAGACGAAGGCAGAAACCATTGACCTGGACCTCCATTACCTGGGGCTCCTCTACCGGTAGCTGCATCTCTACGGATGGTGGCTGTCACTCAGAACCTGGATAAATATCAAAAGGGATAGGGCAGAAATCACTCTTAGATGTCCATACCCAGAGCCAAAGAAGGGAATGTTCCGAAGCCCTGCAAACCAATTTAGGGGACTCCGGCAGAATCCCACAAACATCCAGTAAAGTCCCATTGAGCTTCTTCCAAAACAAGAGTCAAGCCATGGAAGGATCTGACGCATCAAACGTCTTATCCTGCAGAGATGTGGCTGAGCATCCCAGTGTACTGAGTATCCCAATGTTTCGTGCACTTGGGGATTTTTTAAAAGGTATACAGGACTCTTGCTTAGGTGCCATCATTTGGCTGTAGATACAGGAAGAGGCTTTTGTTAGGCTATTGAGGCTGCGGCGTATGTCACACCACCAGGGGATAATCCAGGCATTTCCATCCTCTGCTGGGAAGAGTTATAAAACTTTAAGAAATAATTCAAATTGTGTTTACAAGGCAACCTGATGAGTGTTTTGCAGGAATGGGCCTACGAACCAATGGCAACCCCTCTCCTTCCTTTTCGCCCTCCGGGACATCAACCAGAATCCCAGCCTCTTGCCCAACCTCACCCTCGGATACAACATCTATGACAACTATTTCGATGTGGGGATGACATACGCAGTGATGGTGGACCTCCTCTCCCGTGGGAAAGCCAACATCCCCAACTCCTCCTGTGGGCAAAGGGAGGATCTCCTGGTCCTCCTGGAAGGGCAAGAATCAGAGATTTCCAAAGAGATTTCCACCCTGTCTGGCCTCTACAAAATCCCGCAGGTACTTCGGGAATCCCCTGGTCTAAGGAGGGACCAAATTGCTAAAGAATGGGGCACAGAGACTCAGCGCTCAGTGGAGTTTATCCACTAGCTAAGTAGCAGGATTAGGCCTATGATGGTGTGGGTGGTGCTAAGGGGTTTCTCAGGCTTGTGTTAAGTGGAACTACAAACTATGCTTACATTTCTTTAAGGTCTGCAAGTTTCAAGGCACCATAATTTGCAGGATTTCAAGGAAAGGATTAGCACCCAGAGTGGATATTTTCATAATTTCGGGCAAGCCAGGATGGGGAGGTTCCCTGAGCGAAGAGCCCTCAAAGGCTCCAGCTCCCATCAGGACATCTAGTCGCAACCACCTGCTCTCTGTTGACAGAGGCAGAGAACCCACGCCCTCAACAGATCTCTCTGGGGTT